GTCACTGTTTTAATTTTAGCTTCTCCGTAGCAAAGCTGTAAGCAAGCTGTTATCATAGTGAAGCACCCTGAGGAGGCTGGAAGGGTGGCAGATAGACCTGAGCCTCTCCGTCTCCCTGCTAAGCTTGCATAAGTGCCCAAATGTGGCACCCCATGAGTACCAGGACTCCAGAAAATCTCAAATGTTGACGCTGCAAACCCCACATTCATGTGTCCTTCTTAAAAACATTGATGTGACTCATCCGTACAACTCAGAGGTGTAGCTGGGACCATGCTGAGCTGTGTCAGATGGGTCAGTGTGCAGAACCCCCTCTTGCTGACAGCACCAGAGCCAGGCTGGCAGGGCCACCTCCCCAGGTGCGACCCCAAAATGCTCGAAGGGCTTGCACGGGCATTTGGTTTGCTATGGCAGACTTCCCTCAATAGGTACCAATAGCTGCCTACCAAAATAAAGAGGAGCTTCAGTGAGTCCAATTTATGTAGGTGGTAGGACACAAAATGATTCCAAGAGGTAATTGTCCTCCCCCAGCAAGATTAGTTTTTTGTGTTGATAATTACTACTGGATGCTGGCATCAAGCTCTGCTTCGCTCTTGGTTCAGTGAAGCTCCTACAGGGCTGGCGACGGCCTTCCTGGAGCCAGTGGTGCCTGCAGAGCTCCCCAGCCCCTGTCCAAACAAAGCCCCAGAAACGTCTTGATCTTTTGAGCAAATTATTTCTGAGTATCCTTCCTCTCTCCTAGGGTTTATAAATAGTGGATGCTGCTTTTTACTTCTCGCTTTCATCAGACTCTCCCCACCGGGAGAGAGTAGCTGCTGCTAGACACAGCAATTGCCACAACTCAGTCAAGAACTCGCAACTTGATATTTATCGGGAGTAGTTTGCTTTCCCTCTCTTGGGCAGTATTGTGCAATTCCCTGACCTTGTTGTGCTTACAGGATTCGCTAGTGTTTTTAGCAATGAACCTTGGATCCGCCGCCTGTACAAACAGGGAATGTTGCAACGGGTTTATGCAGTTGGTGTTGCAAGCGCGCCCGGCGAGCAGCTTCAGCCCCGGGGCCCTGGGCAGGATCGCAGAGGCTGCGGCGACGAGCGCCTTGTACAAGCTCAGCCAAGAAACGCAGTTCAGCGGTGCCCGCTGAATGGGCGAATTATATTCCTAATATAAATATTTACAGTTGTCGCTGTATGGATTTCTTTCATAAATGTTCCGGTCGGGGAACAGAAGCGTGAGCTGCAAATCACAAGTGCTGCAGTTAAACTCAGAGTTGGAAACTGGCTTGCAGGCGCTGTTTGAACGCACTTTCGTTTTCTGTGAGCGTTTAGACGAATGAAGTTTGCATGCCCGAGCCCTCAGGGAGTGATGGCCTCCCACCTTCACAAGTGCAGCTGGTTCAATCTTAATTTATTCATGTGAACAAACACAGAGATGTTGCCATGGACTCATCCCGGGTCAGCCCTACGGGGCTGAAATGAGGCATGTTTGAGATACTGGCCGGGGCAGCTAGGAGGCTTGCATGATGGCTTGGAGAAGGCTCCTCGCTTTGGAGAAAGGCCAGGTCATGGGGAGGGGTCCTACGACTGTAGGATCACTGGATAATTCAGGTTGGAAGGAACCTCGAGTGATCTCTAGTCCAACCTCCTGCTCAAAGCAGGGTCAGCTTTGAGCTGATGGCCCCAGCTGGGCCACCACCTTGGTGGGAGACAACATCCGGGCTCCCTGGAGTGTGATTTTTGGGGTGCACCGAGCGTCCTGAGCTCTGAATCTCTGTCCCACATCACCCAGCGCGAGGGGACAACTGCGTGTGCATCTGCAGAGCAGCCCTCTGGACGCTGGCGTTTCTGACCGTGGCCGGACCACGTCTGTGTGCCCCCAAGGAGAATAAAGCACTCAAGCCCCGAAAAAGACTCCCCCACCCTTACCAAAGGTATCCGTTCTCCATGCTGGAAATGGGATAAAAAAGAGAGGAGAAAAGGGACGCACAGCAGGAGAGACGGTCACGAAATCCGGCCGGTGTGAAGGAGCTGGAGCGGAGGAGGGAGCAAAGGCTTCGCTCTGTCTCCCTGCTTTACCCACCCTGGCAAATAATCGCCACGACTGAGCGTGGAAGTGGAAGTGTGGAAGCGCGCAGAGCAGGGCTCTGATTTCCCCCCTCGGCTTCCCCCAAATCCAGGTATCTAGGTCTGCGCGCAGTCCCTGTGCCAGCAGCGAGACGGCAATGACTGCAGGCAAGAAAGAGGGCCAAAAAACAGAAAGCACAGCAGAAAAGTAATGCCCACTTGATAAATGAAGGTGGCTTTCCCTTTAGGATTGTGCTGCGGTTTCTTTTCCCGTTACTGACATTTTTCTCTCTGTTTTCCATCTAACCCAAGAGACGTCTCCTTCCCTTGAGCTTGCACTCCTGAGTCTTGCTGTTATCAGCAAAAACGCAATTCTAGCATTTGTTTGCCCTTGGGAGGCTTCCCCCCCCACCCCCAAGAGTTAAAATAGCAAAAACTTTTTGGAAAAGCAGTAACTTTCTTTAGCAGTAAATAACTGCCAAGCTTTCAGGGCTCCTCTTGCGGTTGGAGCACATCCACGGGTTGCTGGAAGAGCCGTGTTTGCTCTCCGAACTGCGGGGACACGGAGAGCCCGAGTCTGTTCCTGGTGATAAGCAGCTGCTGCTCCAGACGGATAGATAAAACCAGAAGTGAGATGGGAAGTGCCTAAGGACACAAAATAATCTCCTGAACAGTGACCCTGGGAGGAAACGCTGCCCGGCGACTTGGCCGTGGGCAAGTTGTTTCCTCTGCTCGCGCTTTCATCTACGGCAGGTCACCACGTGCACGGCGCTGATACGGGAACGCAGGACACAGACCTTCGTGGGAGAGAGAAGCTGTGACCTCCCGGGAGTTTGAGTTCAGCCCTCCGACCATCCCATATAACCCCTTTTGTTTCAGGCTTTCACTCCTGTGATGATGAGAGAGGTCTTTCTAGTTTCTGGCCTAAGTTTAATAACCCCACGCTATCTTCTTTGCCTGAATAGCTCTTCCTTTCTCCCTGATGATTGCCTTCTTCCTCCGATAACATTTGCAGAGAGCAGTCCTAACATCTCGCTGCTGGGCCAAGAAAGCTCAGCTGTTTTGGGCGCCTCTTGTGAGAGGCTCTCTGCTCCCCTGACTAGCTTAGCAACCGTTTCCTACACCTCTTCCACCCTGAATTTATCTAACACAGCTATGGGTATTGTACACGCTACTGCAGATGATTAGTTTTCACCATCGTCTTGTACAACGTCCTTGCTGGTTCCTTGTCTCTAATGGAAACCACGCTTGCACCATCCTACAATCTTCTCGGCGGTCAATTTTCTCCCTTTTTTCTTTGCGCTTGCTTGAGTCTATCCAGCAAGCTGCTGCTGCTGCTGCTAAAATTATCTTCTTTGCCTGCTGCTTGGCCCATGTCACGCCTCCTCCTGAAGCTTTGCATTGGCTCCTGGTCTCCTTCCACGGCAAATGCAGACGCTTCATCTTCCTTCCAAGCTCCTGCACAGCTCCACCCTGGCCAGCCTCCGTCTTTTCTCTGGGGGCTCCCAGTACCTCTCCCACATTGCACTCAGCGGGCTGCAAACATGCTGCACTTTGGTGCTCCCGTCCTTTCTTCCCCGAAACAGCTCTGCCCTGACTCCCATGCCGGGCCCTTTCTCTCTCTTCCCCCGGCACTGCCTAGCTTCAGCCTCCGGCCTCTCCCTCCTTCCGTCATCTGAGCACCACGAGGAGCTTAAGCTGTTCCCTGCTCCCTCCACAGACCAGATCGGTGCTGTCATCCTAAAACTCCCTGACCTGGGTGAGCACCGGCCACCCCAGCAATCTAGTTTGCAGAAGTGGATATCGGGGTGGCCAGCGAGACTGGCCAAAGTGGGAGGCAGAGATATCTGGGTGGCTTTTGGGTCTCCTTTCTCGAGCAGGGGTTTTCAGCTGGCGATTGGCTGAACTCAGGGTTTTGGGCTGCTCCTGACACGTTCTGAACAAAACGTGGTTTTGTGCTTGGTTTAGAGCAATGCAGGTCCATGTTACTGTCCAGGAGGGAGACCCCCATGCTACCCTCCTCCCATTGGACCTCTGTGCCCTTGGAAGCTCTCGTGAGATCGCGTGGCGAATCTTACTGGAGACCAGATCAAGCGGAAAATTAAAGCAAAAGAAAAAAAAGCCCAAACCGAAAAGAAAGATCATGTCCTGCTCCCATCCCTGCTATGGCCGTACAAGCGCTGGCACAGGAGGGTAACTGGGTACTCAGCACCGGGCCCTTTTCTTCACGATGTTTCTGCAGAGGGATGCAGGATGCAACCGCTGATGTTGTGATTACACACGCAAGATGCCGCAGGGCTGACAGGACTGTGGAAACGGAGGGCTGCAGACGAGCTGAGGACACCTAAAACAGACCCCCAGCAGGATTCAGTACATATCGACCACCCTGAAAGACATTTATCTTAAAACTTTCCATCCTCCCTAGGTAAACTCTTCTCCATATAGTCGGAAAGTTTTTCCTTAGCCGTAACTTAAATCTCCATCGCTGCAAACGAAGATAATTCCTCTTTCACTACCAGCAGTGACCGTCAAGCACACTTGATTAGATATTGATGTCTGATATTATTTCCCTGCACAATCATCATCTTCCTTTTTAACACTACTATATACAATTCGTTCAGCTTTTCCTTATACGTCATGTTTTCTAAACCTTCAGTATTTTGATTTCCCTTTTCTGGATTCTCACTGATTTTTCTACGCTTTTATTAACGTGTCTCACTCAAAGCTTAAGGCCACGCTCGATCCAGATACCGCTGTTTTCGGCAATGCCGAAGGACTCGGGGATCACAGGAGCTCCCCGTGCCTTTGGAAATCAGCTCGTGCGAGCAGCCAGCAGAAATGCCGGTGCCTCCCACTCACGCTGTCATCAGGTCTCTGCAATCTGCTGGTGCAGCGCTTAACGAAGTTTAGTGTTTTAGCTTGTCTCAGCAAGTTCACGGAAAGCCATCGAGAGACTCCAGACTAAACCAAAGCTGACGAAGCTAGGATTTCAAATGTGTGAGTAACTTAATTGGGTCCTACTGCACGCTTGTCACTAGAGACGCAGTTCTGGTGATGTCTAAGGCCATTAGAGGGATTAGCACCATGTTTGTTCTGGGCTGAATGAGACAATTTAATTTCTCTTAAATGCGCTACCCTCCCTGGGGCATATTCTCACACGCAGATGCCCTGCCAACACAGCGTTAAAACCCTGCACTTGCTTTTTACTGGTTTTTTAATTAAATTAGACTTACAAACAAGCATCATACAAGCGTAGTATTATGACCAGAAAACAAGTGTCGTGAATTCGTGTAGTCTTCAAAAGTGCTGTTTGTAACATGCGCTGAGGAGCAAAACCCCTGAACGGTTAGCGCTTCCCGATCGTGGATTGAAAGGAAAAGGGAGTTTATTTTAGTGAGGCAGCATCCCTGTCTCTCGTTTGCCCCCTGCATGCGTCTCAAGGGAGAGATGTGCAAGTAATCCAGCCGCATACCCCGAGGCAGGACGCTCCTCTCCGTTCCCCAGCCACCTGGGAAGATCCAGGTCGTTCTTAAAATGCTGCCGGTGCTCTCCTTGCGGGGAGCGTCTCCTTGGACGCCCCCCATCCCAAGTGGGCCAAGACCCTGCAACAGTGCCTCATCCCAAGCTTTGCTTTGCCCAACGTTTACTTTTTTGCGGACTTTCTAGTTACGCGTCTTGGCGTCGATCGGCGGCGTGAGCAAAACGGGACGTTAGCGGCCGCGAGTTGCTCCCTCGGCGTTGGCGCCACTTAGCAAAGGTGGGGGACCGCAGGCCGAGGCACCTCTATTCGTAAGCTGCTCTTGGTCTGAACAAGCTCTCGAGCCCTCTCTTTTCTCGATGTTTCCCACGCGCTCACTAACCGCAGGCTCTCTGCCTGCCACACGTCGGCCGTGGCGCCCTGGGCCGCCGACCGGCGCCCAGGCATTGCCTCCCTGCTG